AAAAAAAGGTTTTACTGCCTCAGAAACCCAATGGGGGTTGCTATGATTTGGAATCAACTCGACGACAGTGGATTTGGTTGTGGTCTATTTATTTATTTATTTATTTTTTGGGGGGTGTTAAGACCACCTTAGTCTTCAAAGTGACATCTTTGGTCCTTAAAATTTTAAAGAGGTCTTTTGCAGCAGATTTGCCCAGTGCAATACATCATCTGATGTTTTGACTGCTACTTCTGTGAGTGTTGATTGTGGATCCAAGTAAAATGAAATCTTGGACAACTTCAATCTTTTCTCAGTTTATTATGATGTTGCTTATTGGTGCAGTTTAAGGATTTTTATTCTCTTTATTTTGAGGAGTAATCCATACTGAAGACTGTAGTCTCTGATCTTCATCAGTAAGTGCTTCAAGTTTTCACTTTCAGCAAGCAAGGTTGTGTCATCTGCATATCGCAGGCTGTTAATGAGTCTTACTCCAATCCTGATGTGTTCTTCTTCTAGTCCACTTTCTCAGATTATTTGCTCAGCATACAGACAAGTATGATGAAAGGATACAATCCTGACACATACCCTCCCAGATTTTAAACCATTTCTCTGTTTGAACAACAGCCTCTAGGACTATGTTCAGGTTCCAGTGTTCTGAAATTCCTATTCTTTTCAATGTTATCCATAATTTGTTATGATCCACCTAGTTGACTGCTTTTGCATAGTCAATAAAACACTGGTAAACATGTTTTTGGTATCCTTTGCTTTCAGCCAAGATCTCTCTGACATCAGCAATGATATCCTTCATTCCATGTCCTCTTCTGAATCCAGCTTGAATTTCTGGCAGTTCCCTGTCAATATATTGCTACAACCATTTTTAAATTATCTTCAGCAAAATTTTACTTGTGTGTGATATTAATGATACTTTTTGATAATTTCCACATTCTGTTGGATCACCTTTCTTTGGAATGGGCACAGACATTGATCTGTCCCAGTTGGTTGGCCAGGCAGCTGTCTTCCAAATGTGTTGGCATAGACAAGTAATCACCTCTAGTGCTGCATCCATTTATTGAAAGATCAATTCTTGGAGGTCCCCCTCCCCCAATTACTTCAGTGCAGCTTAGACTTTTTCCTTCAATACCATTCATTCTTGGTCATATGCTACCTCCTGAAGTGGTTGAACATCATCCAATTTTTTGGTCCAGTGACTCTGTATATTCCTTCCATTTTCTTTTGATACTTCCTGCATTGTTCAGTATTTTGTCCTTGAAATCCTTCAGTATTGCAACTCAAGGCTTAAATTTTTTCTTCAGTTCTTTCAGCTTGAGAAATGCCAAGAGTGTTCTCCCCTTTTATTTTCCAACTCCAGGTCTTTGCATATTTCATTATAATACTTAACTTTGGCTTTTTGAGCTGCCCTTTGAAATCTTTTGTTCAGTCTTTTATTTAATCATTTCTTCCATTCACTTTAGCTACTCTCCATTCAAGAGCAAATTCCAGAGTCTCTTCTTACATCCATTATGGTTTTTTCCTTTCCTGCCTTCTTAATGACCTTTTGCTTTCTTCACGTATGATGTTTTTGATGTTAGCCCACAACTTGTCTGATCTTCAGTCATTAGTGTTTAATGTGTCAAATCTCTTTTGCAGAGGGTCTCTAAATTTAGGTAGAATATACTCAACGTTATAATTTTGCTCTCTTGGACTTGTTTCAATTTTCTTCAGCTTTAACTTGAACTTGCATACGAGCTACTGACGGTCTGTTCCACAGTCAGCTCCTGGCCTTGTTTTGGCTGAAGATATTGAACCTCTTTCCACAGATGTAGTTGATTTGACTCATCTGGTGAGGTCCATGTCTACAGTTGCCTTTTATGTTATTAAAAAGGTATTTTCAATGAGTAAGTTGTTAGTCTTGCAAAATTCTATCATGCAATCTCCGGCATGATTTCTGTCACCAAGGCCCTATTTTCCAAATACTGGTAATTCTTGTTTCCAACTTTCACATTCCAATCACCTGTAATTATCAATACATCTCGATTGCCTGTTTGGTTAATTTCAGACTGCAGAAGTTGGTAAAAATCTTTAGGTTTTTCATCTTTGGCTTTAGGGGTTGATGCATAAATTTGAATAGTAGTAGTATTAATTGGCCTTTCTTGTAGGCACATGGATATTATCCTTTCACTACAGCATTATGGGAGCTCTGGTAGCACAGTGGCTAAGGCACTTGAGTCGGGGCCGACTCGACGGCACATAACAACAACAACAACAACAACAGCATTATACTCAAAATGTTCTTTTTGATGATGAATGTGACACCATTCCTCTTCAATTTGTCATTCTCAACATAATAGACCATATGATTGTCTGATTCAGTATGGCCAACAGAGATCCATTTCAGCTCACTAATGCCTAGGATATGAGCCTGGATAGTTCAGTCAGTAGAGCATCAGATTTTCTGAGGGTCCATGGTTCAAGTCCCTGTTTGGGGTCTGGTGGTGTAGTGGTTAAGGGTTTCGGCTGCTAACCAAAAGTTGCTGGTTTGAACCCACCAGCTGCTCTGTGAAAGAAAGATGAGGCAGTGTGCTTCTGTAAAGATCTATAGCCTTGGAAACCCAATGGGGGTCGCGATAAGCAGAATCAACTCAATGGCAGTGAGTTTGGTGTTTGGTTTAATGCCTAGGATATTGACTTTTATGTGTTCCATTTCATTTTGACCACTTCCAATTTTCCTAGAGTCATACTTCATACATTCCATGTTCCAGTTATTAATGAATATTTACAACTGTTTCTTCACATTTGGAGTCGTGCCCCATCAGGAAATGAAGGGATAAAACAAGTTAAAAAGATAAAGGTAGAAGAAAATAAAGTTGAGTTCTGATTATATTTCATAAATCCTGCTTAATATTATGGATATAATAAGATGGCAAATATTATTCACTGACTCTACATTTTTAGAACCTATCTACAGACCAACCATACAAGACGTAGTTATAATTACAGAAATGTACATATTAGTTATAAACATTTGCAATGTAAAAATAATGATACAACTTAAAGAGGGTAAGTGTTGGATGGAGGAGACAAGTAGTGAGAAGCAGAAGGGAGTCAATTCCCTTCTGACCAAGAGATACTGTCTAATATTGATGCATTAAGAAAAAGGTGTTTAAATATGTAATTTTAGTTTATAAAGATAATTAACTGAATAAATAAAAATGTAATAAATCATAACTAGGAAAAGAAGACTGGGGAAAAGGGAAAGATTATGTGAATTAAATTACTTAGGGTTCATAGGGGATCATCAGTAATTACTGCTTAAAATTGGTAAAAGGACAACTAGAGATACAAGACATCAAAACACAAGTGGTAAATGGGTTAGCTCTGGGAATGGGATTGGTGTCAGGAGACAGGTAAGTTTAACTTTTCATTTTATGTACTTCTATACTGTTTGAAGGAGCTCTGGTAGCATAGTGCCTAAGGCACTTGACTGCTAACCAGAAGGCTGGCGGTTCAAACGCACCAGCCACTCCTCAGAAGGAAGGTTGGGCAACCTACTCCTGTAGTGATACCACCTCAGAAACCCAAGGAGGGGTGGCTATGAGTCATGTCTGACTTGATGGCACATAACAACAACAATACTGTTTGAATTTTTATTACTATGTATACACATAACTTGTATAACAGTAAGTAAAATTAGATTAAGGGAAAATAACAATGTTAATTTTAAAATTTATACCTTACTCTAATCCAGGGTTTGGTGTGCATGTCCAAACCACTTCCCTAGCTGCCAAGCTTTTCTGAAGCTGGTGGCAAAAATCCCCTTTCTGGGGCCAGCTCCTCTGCAGTTGCCCTGATGTGGTAGGGCTCAAATCCACAGCAACTGCCAATGTACCTGACACCCACGTTGTAGGCATCTCTAGCATACTTTTGAATATCCCATCCTGTTGCAACTCTGGGCTATAGTTCTGTAATTCAATAGTTATGGCATTTTTGTTACCATTCCCGTTTTCAAAGGACAAATGCTATAATGGACATTTTTTTCTCCCCTTCCCCCAATAAAAAACTACAACTTTAGATTATGCTCTCTTTAGATAACTCATTTTTGATTCACATTAAAAATTTTTGTTTTATGCAGTCTCATCTTGTCAGACTGTGCCACTTATGTTGTTGTTTTGTGCTGTTGAGTCAGTTCTGAGTCATGCTGTTGTTAGGTGCCATCGAGTCTGCTCCAACTGCTAACAACCCTTTGTACAATAAAATAAAACACCACCTGGGCCTGTATCATTTCACAATATTTGCTATGCTTGAGCACATCCTCAGAGCCACTGTGTCAATTCATCTTGTTGAGGGTTTTCCCCTTTTTTGATGATCCTCCACTTTACCTCATAGTGACTCATAGTGGCCCATGTTGAGTTTCTGCAGCTGTAAATCTCTCTGGAAGCAGATTGCCTCATCTTTCTTTCATGGAGTGGCTGGTGGCTTTGAACCACTGACCTTCTGGTTAGCAGCCAAATGCCTTAAACACTGCACCAGCAGAACTCCTTATCTACTTAACCTAGCATGATGTCTTTCTCCATGGACTGGTTCCTTCTGGCAACATGACGAAAGTATGAGAAATGAAGTCTGGCAATTCTTGCTTCTAAGGAGAATTCTGACTGTAGTTCTTTCAAAACAGATTTGCTCATTCTTCTAGCACTCCACGGTATACTCAATATTCTTTGCCAACACCACAATTCAAATGCATTAATTCTGTTTTCCTTATTCATTTTCCAGCTCTGACTTGCATATGAGGCTATTGAAAAGATCATGGCTTACATCAGGTGCACCATAGTCTTCAAAGTGACATCTTTGCTCTTCAACACTTAAAAGAGCTCTTCTGCAGCAGATTTGCCCAATGCAATACATTGTTTAACTTCTTGACTGCTGTTTCCATAGGTATTGATTGTGGAACCAAGTAAAATGAAATCCCTGACCCCTTCAATCTTATCTCTATTTATCATGTTGTTGCTTATTGGTCCAGTTGTGAGGATTTTAGTTTTTTCATGTTGAGGTGTAATCCATACTAAAGCCTGTCGTCTTTGCTCTTCATCAGTAAGTGTTTCAAGTCTTCTTCACTTTCAGCAAGCAAGCTTGTGTCATCTTCATATTTCAAGTTGTTAATGAGTTTTCCTCCAACCAAGAAGGCACTTCTTCTTCACATCATCCAGCTTCTCAGATTGAATCTCAGCATACAGATTGAATGAGTATGATGAAAAAATACAACCCTGGTGTATATCTTTCCTGATTTTAAATCATGCAGTATCTCCTTGTTCTGTTTGAATGACTGTCTGTTTGTGTATGTACATGTTCCTCATGAGCACAAATAAGTATTCTGGAATTCCCATTCTTTGCAATGTTATCCATAATTTGTTATGGTGCATACAGTTGAATGTATTTGTCTAGTCAATAAATCACAGGTAAACATCTTCCTGGCATTCTTTGCTTTCAGCCAAAATCTATCTGACATCAAGGTATCTCATGCCATACCCTCTTTTGAATCCAGCTTGAATTTCAGGTAGGTCCTTGTCAATGTACTGCTGTAACCATTTGTGAATTATCTTCACCAAATTTTACTTGTGTGTGATATTAATAATATTGTTTGATAATTTATACATTCTCATGGATAACCTTTCTTTAGAAGGAGCACAAATATGAATGTCTTCCAATCAATTGATCAGGTAGCTGTCTTCCAAATTTCTTGGAATAGATGAATGAGCACCTCCAATGCTGCATCTGTTTGTTGAAACATCTCAATGTGTATTCCGTCAATACCTGAAACTTTGTTTTTCACCAATTCCTTCAGTGCAGCTTGAACTTCTTCCTTCAGTACCATTGGTTCATATATTACCTCCTGAAATGGCTGAACATCAACAAATTCTTTTTGGTACAGTGACTTTTCGTATTCCTTCCATCTTCTTTTGATGCTTCCTGCATCATTCAATATTTTGTCCATGTTGTTGTTGTTGTTAGGTGTCACCAAGTCAATTCTGACTCATAGTGACCCTATGTACAAGAGAACAAAACACTCCCAGTCATGCACCATCTTCACAATCCTTTGCTATACTTGAGCTCATCATTGCAGCCACTGGGTCAATCAATCTTGTTAGGGTCTTCCCCTTTGTCACTGACCCTTTAATTTACCAAGCATGATATACTTCTCCAGAGAACAGTACCTTCTGACAACATGACCAAAGTAAGTGAGACACAGTCTGGCCATTTTTACTTTCAAGGAGCATTCTGGCTGCACTTCTTCCAGAACAGTTTTGTCTGTTCTCACAGTCCATGGTATGTTAAGTGCTCTTCACCAACACCATAATTCAAAGGCATAAACTCTTTTTCAGTCTTCCTTATTCATTTTACAATGTTCACATGCATATGAGGCAACTGAAAATACCATGGCTTGGGTTAGGCGCACCTTAGTCTTCAAAGTGACATCTTTGCCTCTTATCACTTTTATTTATTTATTTATTTACTTATTTATTGTGACTTGGGTGAAGATTTACAGAGCAAATTCACTTTCCATACAACAGTTCACATGTACTTTGTCTCATGTCATTGACCACAGTTTACCACCATGTAACAGCTCCCCTCCCACTTCCTCCCCATAGTTACCTCTTCCCAGTGATCATCCCTCCATACTCCCCTGTGCCCTGAGCTGTCTCCCTGTGCATAAGCAGCCCTTCCTTCTCCCATGATTGTTCTCTCCAGGGCGTGTGTCTACTTGAGGTAAATGTTTAAC